AGGGGCTCGGCCTTCATAACGCTGGCCACACGGAAGCCACGGCCCCACTCTCGTACATGGCAGCAGCACATTGTATCGTTCTCTGGTTTTGTGATTGATAAGTACTTTGTTGTGTGATCCACGTGTGATTATTTAGCTTGCTTGCTAAATAATTAATTCTTTTGTTAAGACCAGCGCCTTAGGGCCAACTGAGTCGTGTGTGTATATTGTAAATAGTCATTGTCACATATTATTGTTTGCACGGAGCGTAGGGGTGAGCTGCTATTTTTGTTATACCTGTTTTCTCCTGTTTTTAGTTAGCCTAGGGAGTTAGGCCTAGTATTGTATTTTTGTTTCTTTTGTTTTTGTTAGGGATTAGTTATTTCGCCAGTCGGTAGACAGGTTGCTTTTTGTTTGTTGTTTTGGCCTGGGCTCACCCTGACGTCTTTTGCTCCATTTTGTGTGCGATATTGTACAGTGTGTTTTTGGAGTGTGTAGCAATAAATTGCTCACCTGTACATTTACTCCCGTGTTTCTGTGTGTCCTTATGTTACGCACCCACACCCCTAGACCAGGGCGTAACAGTGACGTAAACAGTGACGTGGGAGGGAAGCCGCGGCTAGGCAGTCCTTCGGCAATTCTCTCCTAAGTCAGCCCGTTCTTCACCGTCCCCGTCATCTAACGGTTAATGGCCTCTTTGTTTGCGAGGGCAAGGAGGGTGCGCAATTCCTTGTCTCCCCAGTTGCTCATCTTTACAGTGTCTGTCAGGTTTGCGTTCCCCTCTTGCTACTAGCTGCTCGCTAATTCCTGCTATCAGCTGTTTCCTGTTTATCCACCGCCAGTGGCTCGCATGTGGGGCGTCATCCACAGCTCCTCCCACAAGTCATCAATCGCCCCTCCCATTGTGGAAGGCCGCCTTGGTCGTTTTAAAGTAAAAGGGTTCCAGCAATATGACTACCCTTCAAGGCGGAAAATTGGGTGCCTCGGATCAACTCACCAATCCGGCTCTGTGTGTCTAAACGCACACAGCTTGCCGGCAAAATGGCCCAACATTCGCTGAAAATCTGGCAGTGTAAAAGGGGCTTTAGTTTGAGCAGGTTAAGTTTGTAAGGATAGTCGTTGAACTTTATTTGTACAGAGCGTCTACCATGACTAGACCATGACTAGCTGTTGCACATGGTCAGTAAGTTGACATCAATGCAGACTCACTGTTGGAGGGTTTTGTAACTCACTTCCACTCCTTACTAGTTGGTTTGGGATGGCACTCTGTGGCCAACCCACTGTGTAAATGCAGAAACTGAGTAAAAGTTGGTAGTTGTTACTCAACACTAAGATGGCAGTGTGAGAAGTTTGGAAGACGTTGGATGTTGGCGACTAAACAACTTAAAACCAACAAGATATCAATGTCATCTGTTGTGAGTATTCTACGATTAAAATTGATGTTGGCATCAAAGGTCTAGTGTGTAGGATGTAGTGACATCTAGTAATGAGGTTTCAAAACTTAAACTTCATGTGCCAAGAGTGTAGAAGAGCTACTATGGCCAACGTGAGAATGTGAAAATGCCAATGACCCTATCTAGAATCAATGCTTGGCTTATCTGTTCTGGCTTACTGTAGAAAAACACTGCAGACCCTGTGGTAGAGGACTCACTCCATATGTCGATATAAACAGCTCATTCAGTTGATTATACACAAATGAAAACATGGTTATGAATATTATTTACCATCTCTGCCAATAGATGCCCCAAAATCCTGCACACTGGGCCTTTCAACGCTGTCCTGACATTGAATTTTGGTCCCCCAACATCACAATCTAAATTCAACCATATGTCAGTGTTGAGTGATGTTGGTGGCCAGCTGGGTAGAGGTAGAGGTCTCGCATTAACCTTCACTTCTCTTTCGCTACTGTCCAATTCCCATTTAGTTTCCATCCAGTCTCTTCCAGGCTGTTCTGTAGTAACTGATGTCCCTGTGCCCGGGCAAAGTCAAATCATGTAGATGTTTAACATTTCTGACCAACTCAACGTCAACATCAAAAAACTTGCTTGAACTATTTGCTACAATGCCCCCATGATTTCCAATGGCAACGTTCCATTTCGTCTGTATCTGTAAGCTTTCAGGAAACGTGCACAAAAATGGATGACATGAGCACTTAGTGTGGACAGAGGGCTCCATCCACGTCCATATGCATATCTAATGTTGAGCATATATGTGCCTTTAAATGAAGAGCTGCAGGCCACAGGCTGAACAGCTTTCAACTTCTTGGTGATGTAACCAACTCCTCTACCCTCATTAATGCTGTCAGGTTCCCTGTTAGCATTGGGTTTAAACTAGAAATATTACCAAATGCGTGCTTTTGATTTTTGCTTCAACACCAAATCCTTTGCTGTCATCTTGTCGGTCAACTTGTGTGCAATCTGACTCCTGCTAATCTGTGCTGTGACTCTGCTGAGGCTGTATGGAGCAGATACTTTCAGATTATAGTTGTAGCGTCTGTTGTCCAACCAAGTATTGATAAGAAAAAAGCAAAGCTACATGGGGGGGGGGCAAGTAATGTAATCAGTGTATGCTGAAACATTGTGTAACAGCGATAACACCGACTATAGCAGCAAGAAGCCCAGTTGCAGATGAAAACTGATGAGTCAAAACTCAGCTATAACCGTACTCCCTGTGTGTGTGTAGTGTGTGTCAGCCATCACACAACTCCTCACAGCATGGAAGATGGAGGCATGCCATATGGTAGACTGCAGGTACACATGGGCATATTAACCTGTCTGACCCACTATAATCGAAAAGTGATTCCACAACAAACATAAAAAGTCTGTTTTCCTCATGAGTTGCAACCAAATAGCAGCAAACAGACCCTTTACTACCTCGAGAAAAGAATTAGCTGCCTGGCCCCGTATCAACAAAAACAAGAAGGAGGGGAAAGTCTTAAATCCTGACGGTTAGTGTGCAGATAATTCCAGTTAACTCCAGATGTTTGGCTGTTTAGCATTCAGCTGCTAAATTGTTCTGTTGCCAGAGTGTGTTCTGGCAACAGAACAATTGACATGACATGACCCTTGACACAAGATCAATGCAACATGTACTGAATAAATGGAACAGATCATTCAAAATTAACATTGCAACTACAAGATATAATCCTTTAATATCTAACATTACAACATGAATGGCTGTATTTGATGTTGCAGACAGAGCTCTAGCATTTAAAATCTGCAGAGAAGATTCATCGTCCAGCCTATCCTTCGGAGAGGAGATGTGATCATAATGTAGATGAAAAGAGAGAGGAGGGGTGTATGCACACACGCCCGACTGTATGCATGTAGATATGTTTGTGTGCGAGGTGGAGATGGAGAGGAGAAGCACTTTTTGAATGCTTGCTTCCACATTCATGAGGTCGAGTGCAGGTGGAAGGCTGATCAATATTGGATGTGATTCGGCTGCAAAGTTCATGTTGCCATTAACTCCGAAAAATTAAACTCTTAGTTGTGTGTTCTTCGAAGAAAGATGGGCGAGTGTGTGTGTGTAGTCAGGGATCATCCTCAGTAGTTAGCAGTTGTGTCAGATGGGTAATAGTATTTGATGTGAAGAGACACACACAGAAACACACACACTTACAGTAGGCTACCTGCCCAGGACACCCTCTGTAGTCACTTGCCATTGTGTATGAGCGTCACATTCTCATCTCAAGGTGGCACACACACACACACACACACACACACACACACACACACACACACACACACACACGACACACACGTCCACGCACACTGCACCGCATGCAAAGGAGGCTCATATACTGCCTGTGCAATGCAAAGACACATACACACCGAGGAGAATGACGTAATAGCACATCAGCCCACATCTGTGCACGCTGAAGTCCGCACAAGTCAAGGTCATTTATTGATTGAATTAGACTCGTGCAGCAGGGCCCGCTGTGGGGCCACTGGCGAGGCACCGAAAAGCTAAATTTGTATTCTGATCTCACTCGTGATCGCAGCTCGCTGTCCTCCCCTCTTCACGTGTGGACACATGAACACAGTCACACGTGCTCGTCTGCGAACCGCAGCTCCTGCTCAGCCTCAGACATGCAGCCAGCACAGCATGGATACAGCTATTACTTTTTGCTGCATGGTGTTAGAACAGCTGGATGCGGATTAAGCGTTAAAAAAAAATCCATACGATGAACGAGTGAGTCGTTAACAGCTTTTAACGAGTTGGACACGTGCCAAACAGTCTGAGCCCCGCTGCTTTTTCCCCCCAATGCTGAATAAATTAACAGGCGCTCACCAGTGTTGCCCTCTGTGACCGCTCCGGTAACTGACCGTGATAGGTGATCACTGCAAACGACCGGATCGATTGCTGTGATTGATTAATTGGCGGCGGGATCATTTGCCCGCCGGGGTGTGAAGGCAGGAGTCTCATGGCTGAGCGCTGCGCTCGGGTCGATGCGGCCAGACAGGAAGCCGTTTTTGCGTAAATTACCATTTAAAATCAGATAGTGATGGCAGGGTGTTTTTTCCACAGCAGATGATAGACTATTTTAGGTGAGAAAATGTCCGAGGGTAACTGTGAGTCACAGCAGCCCTCGCTTTGCCTCTGCATGACTTTGATTACACAATGATGCTTCATTCACAACATCAGTAAAAGCTCCGACGCGCCAGAGACAGATACCCTCTCCCGGCTAATTTAGTCCAAATAAAACACACTCTCGTGCAATTACAGAGCAACCTTCCCTTTGGTTGGCTGCATGTGCACACCTTGGAAAGAATAACAGGCTAATTTAAGCACACATTTGCTCAGATGCACGCCCCGGGCTAGACGGGACAGTCAGCAGACGTGCAAAAAGCGCAAAGAGCTTCTCTGCGCATTACAAACCAGGGCTAGCTGCACCCGGGATAGCGCAGCGGTAATTCAGCTCACACACACATCGGTAACTTCGCTCGGGTCGCACCTACCCGTCCAGTCTCCCCCCCGTGGGTGCTGCATGATGGGTTACACTCATGGGTGTCACTCACCTAACTTTTGCTGCCACAGAAGATATCGCATCGTTTCTTAAATTCTTCCTTTTGGACACGGCAGTTCCCATGCTGACATGGAAACGACGCAGGCAGGGAAACAGTTCATTCCAAAGAGTCGGAGGATGGAGGGGATGCGACAGTGAAAAACAGTATAAAAACCACACAGAAAAAGTTGAAGGGAAATCCGGGAGCAGATAAGTCACGTACGCGTCTGCGGAGCAAAAAAGGTGCAAAAAAAAACACGAGGGATGTCTCAGCCTCTCCTCCGTCTCTCCTCTCTGTCTATGTGTTCCTCCGGATATGAGCACGTACGTGGGGTTGCTGCACAGCTGTCAGCGTGTGGCTGAAAATACACAGACCTCTCTCTCTCTCTTCCTCTCTCTCATTGATCTGAAAATGCAATGGAAGGATGGCTGGGGTGGTGATATCACCATCATCATCATCACCACAAAGGGGAGGAGGGGGCGTGGAGGCACTGTGCAAGGGACACTGGTGCCGTCCGTGTAGGAACCTCTGCCTTCCATCTCATCCATTTTTGGAGCATTATCTGTGTACCCATATATAGTTATCGCCTCATGTTATGTAATTTTTAGTAAAAGGGTCCCCCCTCTCTGTCACAAACACACACACGTGTTGAGATGGTTCCCATCCACAGCCAAGGACAGGGGGAGCAGTGAGGTTGAGGCGCTGCAGTGCTCTCCACATGTGAGCATCACAACAAATGGCATGATAACAATAGCTTCAGACTGGGATGTGTTTTCTGCTGTTGAGTTATCAGTATTCAAAAGAGTGCGGGAGACTGACAGATCATAAAGGGCAGCTCCAACTATCTGTAGAGCAGAATTACCTTCCAGCTACTGATTAGCACTCCTGTGAGAGACATGGATCAAACATTGCTCCCATTTTGTATTTATCTTCTCATGCAGTTGTGGTTGGAAGACTTGAAATGACTTCCAAAACAGCATCTGATGATCTGACTCGACTTCTATGAAAAAATACTTAATCAAAGCAATTGCAAATACCTCAGTTGTTATTCAAGAAGGTATCGCTCTGTCGCTATTTCATCTCTGTAAGAGTATCTCAGGGGTTTGTAACCTCTCCAATTAATTAGACAATACATCTCAGAGGCTGTGGGATTATCACTGGAATAGAAAAGAAGGAAAACACTTCAAAATATGTTTTTAAAAATGACTATTCCCCCTTTTTTTCTTGAGAAATAGTTTGACTTCTGCAGGCTTCTTAAATTATTTAAATTAAACAGTCTGTGATCAATACTTTGTTAGACTGAGAGCAAAGGTTTGAAATGGTAATGTCACTGAGGTCATCACTGATGCATCCATGAACTTGGCTTTTCAGTAAGTCTTTAGGTGTTACCATAGGATCAACATAAAAAAAACACAATGAATTAAAGGAGCAGTGTGTAGGATTTAGTGGCATCTAGCGGTGAGGAGTGCAGATTGAAACCAGGTGAAACTTCTCCCATGTGCCAAGCATGAACTCCCAGTTAGGATTCCTTCAGTGTTCATTGTTCAGGAGGTTTTTACCAGGAGCCGAATTATCCGCAGAGGTCTCTTCCTCTCCGGAACAAATGTAGTCCATGATTTAAATTGGTAAAAGCACTGAATAAAGCAGTCTCATGGGCAGATGCAAAAATGCGAATGGCCCAATCTAGAGTCAGTGTTTGGTTTGTCTATTGTGTGCTACTGTAGAAACATGGTGTTTCAACATGGCGGACTCCTTGAATGGGGACCCACTCTTCATGTAGGTATAAACAGATAATTCTAAGGTACGAAAAAAACATGACAATTCTTACTTTCAGGTGATTATACCCCAAAGAAAACACACTTACTATATTATATTCGATCTCTGCCAATATATCTCCCTAAATCTTAAACTCTGGACCTTTTTAAATACTAAAACAAATACAGGAAATATTAAGTAAATTGAAAAAAATTATAAGGGTGAAAAGTCCTTAATTCTCTACCAAATGTCTGTTTAGCACTGCGTCATTTGAAGGAAGAAGTGCCAATGAGAGGAGTTTTCATAACTTCCTGGGAGCATCCTCAAGCCTTAGTTGAAGTATAGGCAGGGAGCTGGGTGTGGTGGAGACTTTATGATTTACACCTCATTTCCACTTACGTATGTGTACAGAGACGAGGCAAAGCCATTTATTCCTATGGGAATCTCCATGACAGTGACGGACTCAGGATGTTTGAAGGGCAGGGGCGAAAAGGAAAAAAGGGCACCTACTGCATGACATGTGGACAAGAGGGCAGCCAAAAGGGCACATCCTCTCATTTTCGCCACTCAAGAGGGCACTTTAGCGCAGCGTTTTCAACCCAAGCGGCACCGAGGGGGGGCGACCACACCCCTGAATTTCATTCTCAGAGGCCGTTTACATGTACACGGTGATTTTGATAAACGGAGACATCTTCCTTAGTTTGTGCCCTTCGTTTACACGCAAACGGAGATTTCTCCTCTGAAAACAAGTCTTATAGGCAGCCCACGTCACAGTATGCGCCGGAACCTGCGCCTGTGTAAAAAGTGCGACCTATGTTGCTATGGTGACAATGGATACATGGAAGGCTTGAGCTTCTCGTTACACTGCCACCTACAGGTTTGGCATGCTCTTGTGTGTATATATACACGGGTAAGTGTAAACGAAGATCTTTTTGAAAACGGAGACGGTGAAATGTCCGTTTATGAAAATAGCCGGCCAAGTGTAAACGGCCTCTCAATCTGAGTAATGTTATTCTGCTAAAATGTTTATACATTATATACAGTCAGACTTTCTATGACTCGTTTAGCCGTCCACACGTCTTTTTAATTAAATAGTTCCTGTCACGTATCTGGCATGTTTTTGTCCCGATAATGTTCCAAGCGCATATTTCAAACTACTGGATGGCAAAAACAGCCTCTCTCATGGCTACAGGTAGTTCCTATCAGGATTCTATCCATCCGCAAAGAATTGCACTTCCTTGCGTTGGACACTAGAGGCATCATCTATATATTCACTCACATATGTAAGTGGAAACCAGGTTTTAACAAGTGCTTCAAGATCTTGTAACAATCTAGCACATTATATACAGTTTTGTTGAGCACACTTCTATTTTGTGTCATGTAGAACAGAATGTGACACAGAAACGTGGAAATTGGGACCTAAATACCATCAGCAACAACACTGCAAGCCAGAAAACCATTCTGAGTACACAGTATATGTATTAAACTAGATTATATTAATCATATAGTATTTAATTAGAAACGAATACTGTATGCAAATGTTTTAATTCTTTAATGCTGTGCCATACAGCTTGTTTTTCTTCCCTTTATTTAAATAAATCAATGTTGGCAAAAGTCCCAGCAGTATAGAAAACGTGTTAACTCACACTGTTCAGAGAGTTAATTAATTACTAGTCAATGATAGAAGACAGTGAGTGTTGGTCGCTGCAGTGTACGTGCCCACACAGACATGCACATATGGGCACATGCACACATCATATAAACAGACAGAAGCACAGGTAGCAGACAAATCGCCCAGTAACGGTCGATTAGCCTTCAAACATCAAATCAGTCAATCTCTCAGTCCACAGGTCATTTCACCAGCAGCTCGAATGTGCAGGATGTCCTTGAGCTTTATATCTTTTAAAATGTGCTTCTCCTGCAGACACACACACACACACACACACACACTAAGACAAAAGGAATGAAAATCAATAAATAAAGCAAAGCACCGTTGGGCTGGTGTGAGCTGCTGTAGGCCATTAAGCAGTAAATAATTCCAGGCAGCTCTGACGAGACTGAGGGAACGTGTGTGGACGGACTGTAGATGAGCACCAGAGATGCAGGAGTGAATGAATGGAGCGAGTACGGGACATTGGAGCTCCCTGCACAAGCCATAAAAAAAGGAGGGGAAGAAGATGATGGAAAGAGGAGGGATGAATGGAGGCATGAATGGACAGCAGGGATCCAAAAAAGGAAAGAGAGCAGAGCTGGGACAGTGTGCAGAGAAAGTACAGCAAAGAAAGAGAGACACAGGGATGAATGAAAGGAGCAAGTCATGTTTATCATTCTATAAAAGGAGTGCAGCTACGTGTGTGCCACCAGGAAACACGGTGGGGTACCGCTGTGCTACAATATGCTGCAAAGTGGTGAGGGAAGGAGCGACACAACAGATGAAAGGCAGTGAAAAGGGGAGGACAAGAGAGAAACATGCAGCCATAAATCCATATCTGCCCAACATATTAGTGTCTCCTCTGACCCTGACAAGAACTCACCATTTGATTGATTGCAAAGCAGATCAATGTGAGTCTGCAACAGTTACAACAGCAGCCAGGCAAGTGGCCTGAGAGCCACTCTGAGGGGACTGAGTTTACACTCTGAATCAGAATTTTCTCAAATACTGGTTCAGTTTAGGAATGAAAATTCATCCTGTTCTAATGAACAATAAAACCACATTAACATACAGTATGTCATTTGATATGTGAGGTGTAATTTAACTGAATGTGCAGTTGACCCACCGATGAAAATTACCATTTTCCCCATATACTAGTGTTTTTAGCCAAGGTGCTACATTCACCTCTGGACTGTCATAACAGAAGACAAACTATTTGTATCTTCGATAACCTCACTTAAATAAATACCTGAAACAAACATAAATGCCAAATTTACATCATGTTTTTTACGTTTTCTCCCCTGCGTCTTGAGAAAACAAGATCCTACACACTGCTTTTTCTCAGCATCCCAATTAATTTGCTATATTAATGTTTTGGTCCCTGTGGACTTTAGTCATTATACGTATTTTACACAATTTTTAACAATGTTAATCTTAAACAGATAGTGTTCCGCCCATTTTGTGTGAACAGGTGTGGGAGAAATAATCTCCTGTGGGTGTGTCTCTCAATAATTGACCTCTACATGTGTACCATCTGTCACATTATATTCCACATGCAAAGAAAAAAAGAAAAATATGACCAATTAGACACTTCATTTTTCTTCTTTATACGTGGAATATAACATGACAGATGGTACACATGTCATTGTCAGTTATTTAGATACACACCCACCGGAGATTAATTAACCCCCACCTGTTCACACAAAATGGGCGGAGCACTATGTATTAAAGGTCAGTGTTGTATGTTGTACGGTTCAGAGGGACCAAAACATTAGTATAACAAATTCTGATGCTGAGCCAGAGCAGTGTGCGGGATCTTCTTTTCTCAAGTCTCAAGTGATTCTTTCCAATGCATCTGCATCTATTTAAGTCATCTTGTTGCGCCCTCTTCTTCCTACATAGTATAATGACACCTGACTGGAGAGTTAGCGCCACCTACTGCTTATCTGAATGAACCAACTCCTATATTAAACAACATTTAACATCTAACATTTATTGACCAGAATATATCTTAGCATTATACGGTTCTGCAAATCAT